GCCATCTTCCTCCGCCCCCCCTAGAAAACCATTTTTCAATGCATGTGATCAACTCTATAAGCTTATAGAAGGAAAATGATCATATTGAAATGAAGTTGTTAGAGTATTAGAAAATAAACTTGCATGAAGTTGGTTCATGTAGTTCCTCATGAACACTTTAAATCACAAGGGGTGATCTAAAAACCTACCAAATGTTGCAGCGGTGAATTAGAGCTGCTGTGAGCATATAGTGTAATGTATCATGAAAACTTATCTGTTGGGGGCCAAGTCCCCAGTGCCTCTCACACTCCTGAGGTTTGTCACCTACCTTCTTATCTGAAGGAAACACTAAATTCCAGGTAGAGATATGTGAATGTAAAGATGTAATTTTTTCTCATCTAAGTTCATGGATTCTGCATTAAAACAAGGACTGGCATGACCGTCCCAGTCCTCCAGCACTGAAACTATTGTCCTCTGTTCTGAGCTGGTTTTCTCTCTCCATTTTTCAGCCCTGCACGAATTCCCCAATGACATCTTCACCAATGAGGATCGAAGACAGGGGGCGGTGGTTCTCCACGTGCTCTGTGTAAGTACCCCTTTGGGGGCTCTGCCTGGAGGGTCCTGAGGGGAGGCCTGGCCGGTGGTGGGTGGGCATATTGATGTGCACACCTGGCGTGGGTCCTCTGAGCCCCGTGGAGGACAGTCTCTAAACGCACCCTCTGTAGGAGGCTGCAGGTTCGTAAGCTGGAAGATAACGACATATTCTTGATATCAGAGTCTAAACCGTGGGCTCCAAGCTCAACCGGACTTGCTCTCTACTATTTAACCTTACTCTCTCTCCTCCAGTGCCACCCTCTTGGGGAACCCTTTCCTAACCAGCCTCTCTAAAATGCCATCGTCTTTCCCCATCCTGGACTTTGTTTTTCTCCATACCACTGATCGCTATCTGACATAGTATGCCATCATTATTTGTTTCTTGCCCATCAACCTCACTCACACGCAAGCCCAGGAGAATTGGGACTTGGCTTGCACGTGGCTTCTTTCCCAGACCTGTTTCTGGCATGCAGTAGCGACAAAATATTTGTGAAATTAACGGATTGCCACTGACACAGCATCTGACATAGAGTAGGTGAGCAAGAAACATTTGCTCTGGTTCCTAATGTCCACCACTGCCCTAGCACTTCCTCAGCAGACCCAGGGGATGGGAGGCCTTCAGCTTTCTTTGTCCCCACTTGGAGAGCATGGGGAGGGTGTGTGCGTGAAAATACATCTAAGGAGTGGCTGCAGAATCAGAAAGATGCAGGCCAAATTCTGGACTAGGTACGTCACTGGGCTTTCCCATCTCTATGGTATTCACTCTCTTCCAGAATGCTCTTAATTCCATTTTGGTTATTTATTGCAGTGAAACAAATTCTCGAAATTTAGTGACATACCCAGTGACCACTCTCCATTACTCACGGGTTCTGAGAGTCGGGAGTTCAGAAAGGGCACGGAGGGAATGCTGTGCCATAGGACCTCAGCCTGGGAGGGGACAGTTCAGGTGGCCGGCAGTGACCCCGGCAGCAGGGCTAAAGTCCCTGGTGCCAGAGAATCCCCCACCCAAGAGCGTTTCTCCAGCATCGCATCTGGTGTCCGGGCTGTGGTAACCAAAGCACCAGCTCGGCTGGGACTGTTGGCCAGAGTGCCTCCATGGGGCCTCTCCATCATGGCCCCGTGCCACAGCCCAGCACTTGGAAAGGGACATTAGGTGAACAATCCACCAGATAGTATTACAGTCACAAACCCACAATGACTCAAGGGCAGGGGACAAAGACCTTCCTTTTCAGTGCACACGCTGGGCTCTGGAGTTGGACGGGGCATGGGTTTGGAACCAGGACTGCTGTCCTTTTTTTGTGTGTGGCTTCTGACAGATGTTTAGCCTCCCTGGACCCAAAGCTGCCCTAAGCCTGATTTCCCTTGCGTGAAAGCAGTCAGTTCTTCAGGTCTTTCCCCACTTGCCCCAACCGCCCAGAACCCTCCCCTTGAAGAAAAGGCATGAGAAGTCTTTTTTTAGCAAAGACATTCTCTAAAAACACCAGATAAGGTAGACCGTTTGCCATCCTCCCTGCCCTTTAGGAGAGTCACAGGTGCAGAGCGATTAATATGGATGCCAGCTGCCACCTTTGGCACCGAGGAGCCTCCCCTGTCTCCAGGCTGAGGAGACCCAGTCCCTGAGCTGGAGCCAGAATTCCCCTGCAGCCATTAGCACCCGCATGCTTTGATGGCCGAGACAGGAGATTTCCACTCTCAGCACAAACAGCATGAGCTTCCATCCTTCCAAGGTGATGTGGTGGCCTATGGCTGGCCGGGACCTTGTCCCCACCTTCCCTGGTTGATCCTCTGAATCCAACTGAAGGCAGAGCAGGGTGCATTTGCCTTGCACTTCATGAGCCAAGAGTAGCCATAAGGCCTCTGGTCAGTTCTCAGGGGGTACATGTAGGCAAAGCAGGACAAAAACAGATAAATCCCCCTTAGACACTCCCTTGCAAGAGTGGACGCAAGCCTGCAAGTTAGCACTTTGTCGTCACTAGTATTTAATACCACAGTTAGCTCCTGTCCTGGACCTTGCATCCTAAAAATCACAGGGGCAAGGAGTCCAGGGGCCACAGTGAGCATCCACCCCTTTCAGACCATACTCTTGGCAACTCTCTGCTCAGAGGGCCTGTGCTTGCTGCTACAGCCTCAGCTCTGCATCTTGGAGGGAAGAGACCCTGGCAGAGAAGCTTGAACCTGCTTCCTGGGGCACCCACACACATGCAAGGGGTGCAGGGTGGAGCCGGTCTCCAGTTAGGAGGAGGGCACCTCTTTTATGTGGCAGAGGCACATGGTAGGGTGGACCTGCTTGTGCCCTCCCAAGGACAGGGACCAAATCTTGTGTTATCCTCCCCACAAGGATATAAGATGTAAACTTCATGAGGAAGCCTCTTTGTTTGGTGTCTGGTGCTTGAACAATAAAGGTTGCACAGTTGCGTGCAGGAATGAGAGATTTTTTTTATCCCCTTCATGTACCATGGTGCCTCGAGCTCTTAGGATGCTCAGGAACTGTTCGATGAACATCATTGGATGTAAGAAAAAACACTGCCAGGGCCCACCTGTGGCATTTCAGTGGCCAGATGAATGCATGAGTCAAAGCTGCAAGGAGCTAAGTATAGATTTCCTGCTCTCAGCCATCTAGAAAGCATTTCTGAGCCCCTGCATACAGTAGCGCTGGGCTGGACCCCTCTGGAAGCCTGAGATAGAGCCTCATGCTGCACCGGCCCACTGTCTTGTGGGGAGACCCATTTAGGGACAGCTCCCCCACATGCTGCTGTGGGAGAGCAGAGAAGGATACTTCCAACATTGGAAGGTGCAGTTAGGTTGGAGTAGGTTGGCATTTACCAAAGGGGAGAAAAGGAACTCTAGGCAGGAAAGGAAAACCCATGATCAAAGATGTAGAGACTCAAGAATGCAGGGCATCTGGAGTGAACAGAAACTAAAGGCAGGGAAGGTGGGGGGCGGGCATTACCTGGGAGGCGCCATGAGGTGACTCAGCTGCTGAGTTGGAAGTGGAGGGAAGCAGATTCCTGACCTCACCATCCCTCCTTGCCTAGGGAGTAGGGTCAGGCATGGCCAGAGAGAACCCAGCATGGTCTGTGCTCTAGTAAGGTGACAAAGACCCAGGCTCACTCTTTCTTAATTTCCAGCCCCAGGGTCAGCTTATTTCTTCCTGCCTGACCATGGATCACAGCCAGCCTATGGGTTGCCCTCCCCTGGGTCAGGTCTTAACCAATCAGCCTGATCAAAGCACAGGCCTGCCTTGCAGAGGGTGGGGCAGCTCCTGAAGGAGGAGTCTGGGCCCTGCAACCCCAACACCAAACTAACCCCCCTCCACCCAGGGCGAAAGCAAAGGCTGATTTGGCTAGGTGGGGGTCCTTTCTGGGGAAAGCCCACATCCCAGGCAGTCTGTTCCCCTTTCAGTCCTGGGGGAGGAAGCTGTCTGGAAGGGGTCTCAACAAGGGATGTCATTTCCTTGTGACCTGAGTTTCTTCCAGTTGTCTCTGCTATTTAATTTTAATATCTGGAGTAGTTTCTCTGGATGTGCTCCTCTCCCTGGGGCCCAGGTTACTTTTGTTAAGAGCCAAGGAATAAACTATTTGCTGCAACAGCAGATTATTAGAGGGCAGAAGGGCCAGGCTACCAGCAGGAGGTGGAGGGGACCCCTTCCGCTACCCACCCCTCACACCAGCCCTCCAAGAGTCAGCTTTGCATGTCAAAGCTCTCAGTCCACCTCCGCCCCAGGAGTGATTTTTGTCTCTCCAAGGCTATTGCTCTGGTTTTTTGGCTCTAAGACAACTCAACTTTTATACACCAGCCCTATCTAATAGAACTTTACGTGCTGGTGGAAATGTTCTCTGCCCGCGCGGTCCAGTAGGGCAGCTGCTGGCCTGTGTGTGGCTGCTGAGCACTCCAAGTGTGGTTAGTGTGATTGAGGGACTGATTCTTTATTCGTATTTCATGTCAATTAACATATTTTCAAATAGCCACTTGTGGCAGGGGACTGCCCTGGAAAGCCTTCAGATGGATTCTGATTCAGCACCTTCCCTTCCTTTTTTATGTTGTCAGCTTTAAATCAAGAAGCAGAGACAGGAAAAAAAGGTTGCCTGCAAAGAGGTGCTGCTCCCTCACTCCATCCTCTTAAGGGCTAGCCTGGGGTTAGCAGTTCAAACAAATGGGATGCAGGGAAGTCATTGCCAGGGTCCAACGGGATGTTCGATGATGAGACAGGACACCCAGATTAGGAGTGAGGACGCTTGTCTATCACCCACAAGCTCAGTGCTTTGGAACAAGTCACAGAATTTCTGACCTCAGTTTCCACATCTGTAGAGTGGAAGGTGCATAGTAGGTGCTCAGTAAATGGTGGTTTTTTTATCTTCACCTTCTCTCCATCCCACACCCCTCTAAGGGCAGCTCCCCTGTGATTAACCTGTTACAAACACCTGTCATGGGACCAGAGCCAGATCCATTCAGAGGCAGCCCTGTCCTGAGCAGCCAGACATGGGGCATCAGGGAGGCCTTTCTGCAGCTCGTGTTTTGCCAGGCCCAGGGCTCTGGGAGAGAGGCTGCTGCTGTGAGGGTTTTGGAAATTTAAAGGAACCTGTGTGATCTGGTCAGCAAGGTCCCAGCAACAGTTCACTCGCTGGGCAGACGTGTTTAGTTAAGGAATTTCACCCTGGAAGAGAAAAATGATTAGAAGAGCTTGTGGAATTTGCTGTTTACTCTTGGAAAAGTGCTGAGCATGTCCTTAATTTGTCAGTGTCAACACAAAGCTAAAACTGGCGTCCAGAGAGGATTAGCGCAAAAAGAGTAAATTATTATGTTTCAATAGATCTTAAGTTCTTCCCTCCCCTCCTTGCTCCCGGGACACACTTCAGAAGGCCCAGCTTTAACCATTAGGTCCCATGGGCTTGCTGGGAGATTGATGTCCCCAGGACCGCTGAGCTGGATAGAAAGCATGAGGATGGGTTAAAGCACGCTCTTGGAATGAAACCCATCTGCGTTCCAGTCCTG